TATATATATATATATAGAGAGAGAGAGAGAGAGAGAGAGAGAGAGAGATAGAGAGAGAGAGAGAGAGAGAGCTATTAAAAACTCAGATTTAGACTTTATAAATTATATGTTTCATTATTGTTATTTGCAATAAAATGATTCAGCTTCTAACTTGACGTTTTAATATTCTATTAATTAATCATTTAAAATGATGGCAAAAACTAATCTGAAAATCTCCTCGAAAATCTCCATTCAAAAAAAAAATTCCACTTCACTTTCAACTTTCAAGCTGGAGACCGCAGCAGCTCAAGGCTGATCTCCACTACCCGGTACCAGAAAACTAACGGTACCGTACGTAACAACGATCCATTGGGTCCAACATCTCTACAGCCGACTACAGATCCAGGCACAAACCTAGCACACGCATTTATTGTATATCTGGACAAAATATCTCTTCACCAAACAAGAATACAGATTTTTTATGTGTGATAGCAGTTTGCACCATAACTTTCGAGTGGGTGACAGTTATGTTACTCACTGACTCACTGCTTGTGTGTATGGTATTTGTAATAGTAGGGTTAGGTATAGGGCCTACGCAGGACCGTCTTTACAGCAGCGGAGGCCCTGGGCACAGGAATACACCGAGGCCCCTAACCCTCTCTATACTGAGGGCAGTGCTAAGGAGGGGGGCGAGAGGGTCAATCAGCTCAACTTGTGATTCAAATTTTTAATTTTGGAATGTCCCGATAATATCGTGTGTTAAAATCGGGAAACGTGCTGTCCACTGACTTTCAAATTAAATTAAATTGTCAAAATCTTTCAATATTCATTAAAAATATGTAAAGTGTTATGCCTCTAAAGGATTGAGTCTCCCAGAAGCTTGAGGCCCACTAGAAGAAGAAGCGCGAAGCCCTGGGCCAGTGTCCAGTGGACCCATGCCTTAAGGTCGGCACTGGGACTACGTGTGCTTGAGACCCCATGTCAACCTCTTCATTTAATTATGGTTGCCAATTATAATTAATCTTATATACCGTATGAAATATCTTCATGTAGGTCAAAATGCTTTTTAAAAAAAAGTTATAATAATGAAATAATTTTAGATAGATATACTACATTAATATATATATATATATATATATANTATATATATATATATATATATATATATATATATATATATATATGTGTCTTACAATGCGTACACCTTGCAAAAACAGATTTAAAGGGATATAATCCGAATTATTCAAAATAAAATATATTTAAGCATTATGGGACTTTGTAAAAAAAATTCAAAAGTTTGAAATTGAAAGAATAAATATTCCTCCTCTTAGCCTTTCTCATTCCCAATGGAGCATATACCATCCACAATACTTTTCCGTGTGTCCCAGTCCTGGGCTATACTGCTCGTGTAGTTAAATAAAAATCCACGTATTACTACAAATTAATTAACTATTTCATATATTTTTTCTACCACCATAACTAATTTAAAAAAAAATAAATCCATCATTATTATTGGTCAAGCTACATATATTTTTATAGCAGTATATGTAAAATTTTGAATAAATAATTAATTGCAACTTACAATTACAAATGCTGTTTGTTGATTATTTCAGATTGTGTGACTCACAAGATAGATTTTAAATTTTTACAATAAATCAATACTCTGAATGCATTTGCTGATCAACAGTAATAAAAGTACCGTACTCAACTTGACCTTGAAATAAACTTGTGTAAAAGCAGAACAGTCACATGAAAAATAGGGGCTTTGGCTTTGCAGCCCAGCTTGCACAATTTTTACATAAAAGTGTTAAAAGAGCATTCAATAAAAAAAACCCCACACATTTTATCTTTACTTTTTAAATTTCATGATAAACGTTCGCACATTATATATATTATATATATATGAATATATAAATATAGATCGCCTTTGGCTTTGGTGAGTAGCTTCGACTTTTAAACCGTCAACTTGATCAAAATTAAGGCTATCAATAATTCAATTATGTTTTAAAATCATTTCAATTTTACCTATTTAAAGAGATGGTCCAAAGCGAATTGGACATAAAAATGTGAGAAAGATCCTATGATATTCAAAGCACCTCTTGTAACTTGTAAATGATGTTCATGAGTCATGAGTGAATGGACATCATTTAAAATTTGAATCTTTATGTTTTGTTTCGTATAGCCATTACATGATTTTTTTTAAATCGAGGTCATTACTTCAATGCGCAAGGCAATTCTCATCCGGGCATCCGTTTCAAATGTTAAGAGGAAGCAGAGAAGCCGATGAAAACAAACTGTTTCGATGTCTAAGGATTTGACCATGAATTCTGAATGAATGTGGATACGGATTTATGTTTCCATTTGACTTATTTCGATTGGGATTTAATTTAATTATTTTGTTCTTTTAAAGTAAGCAAACTGTGCACCAACTCTCCGAAAATGGGGTGTGTAACCAGCCAAGAGGACAAAGCTGCAGTGGAACGATCAAAACAAATTGACAAATCCCTGCGTATGGACGGAGAAAAGGCAGCACGAGAAGTAAAGTTGCTGCTTCTTGGTAAGCTTTTTCATTGGGACATTAAAGTAACAATATTTTCTGTTTAAAAGATTAGTCCTGGAGCTAAGTGAAAATTATA